CAATAAATATGTTCCTACATTTTAATGGCCTCATGATTTTATGTCATTTTTATCATGGGCTAAATAATATATAATCCATACACAAACGTCTGTACTCTTTAATATGTTTATTGATTTTTTCTGTTCCTTTATCTCTCTCTCTCTGTGTATTCCAATGCTACTCCCATGATACTTTAGTTTTTGTAACTTTGTTCTACTTTTTAATGATTGATTGAGCAAGTTCCCTCTCATTGCTCATTGTAAAAATTTTCAACTAAAGAATTGTTAGTATTCAAATCACAGTATCTAATCTTAGAAGATAGTTGTAATTTTAAATATTTCCTTCACTCTCTTACACAGACTGTGCAAGTGCACACACGTGCACATACCTTAAGGCAGAGCTATTGAAGGAAAATGGTGAAGTAAAGAGAGGTGGTTTTCAGCATTCTCACTCCTTTTTTCATATGGGCTTCTTCTAATGCTGGCAGTCTCGAGATGCCCAGTGTTCTCTATCTCTCTACCATTTCTCCACCACATCTTCCCTTCAGTTAATGGTCCAGCTAGAAAGGAAAGGCAATCCCATGTCAGACTTCTCTCTTAAAGACATTTGCATTTTAATATTCTCTGCTTCTTTAACCCAAGGAAATAAAGCCTTGATTTTGGGATTTCGGTTTTCTAGACATGAACCATCAGGTGAGAAATTTTTCATCGCACTTGCGTAGCCACATATTTTACCAACTATGGACCTGCCTGTGACTCTGGAAATCTAGGCTCATATATTATGCTATGTATCAGTTTTTAAGATTTAAAATATTTCCCCAGTATTAAAATTAATATTAAATGCTGTCTATTATACCCAATGATGCCATCCTCACTTATAGAAATTAATTCGTAAACAGTTGATAATGGTCCAGTCGTGGGCAATAAGTGAAGGAACTGAGCAGAAGAGTGATGTGACAGTGTTTGGAACTTTAATAGGAGGTACAGGTGCAGGAAAGCTTGCAAGAGAAAGTGGCTAACAGAGACAGGAGTCAGCTGCGTCAGAAGTTAGTAACCCTGGGGCCATCTCAGTCATCTGTAGCATGCTTAATAAATACCTATGCCTTCCAGGCAGGGACAATGAAATACTATCATCTGGAGGTAAAGCTGAGGTGTTTATGTTTTATTTGTTTGTTTTAATGGTGATTTTTTAAATTATTTATTCATTGTGGTAAAATATACACAACATAAAATTTACCCTTTTAGTTATTTTCAAGTACAATTATGAGGAGATTCTACTTAGGGCTGCAAATGAGTTCTAATTAAAAAGATGAGGAAAGGTATATGTATTGGGGAGATAGAAAGCTTTTGAAACAATGCCATTTATACTTAAATGCAAATTAATCTATGACATCTGTGGTGTTTAGCAAATCATCTGATAAACTCATGAGGACTCTCACTGAATAATAAAAAATAAAGAACCATCAGGTCTAAGCAAGTACTGAATTAGAGCAAATCACTTATGTAGGCAAAAGCAAAATTTTTGCATAAATGATTTGTTCACCTCAGGGCTTCTTTTGATTTATAAGTGCATCCTAGTGTAAGTAAGCAGGCCTTTTCATGCTTGGTGACCAACACATTTTACTGAGTTATAGCCCTACTTTCTGGCAAATGCTACATGTTTTAGATCTCACACTGTGTGTGTGTGTGTGTGTGTGTGTGTGTGTGTGTGTGTCGTTCTCTAAATAATTCCTCAGATTATTAGTACCAAATATAAGTCTTAAACTAAAATATCACTTAATGTTGGTACCCCTGTTAAAAGCTAGTATGCAAATGCCTTGAAACAAGTCTTCCCTTCACATATGCGAAACCTGCAAATATAAAATGTTTAATTTTTTCCTTTCTCTTCCACTTAATTTCCCAGCAGTAGCAACTACCACCTCACAAAAATAGCCACCAGTATTAATCATCATAATTTTTTCCCTCAGGTTCTTTCAGTGGTCATTAATTGTGCAGCATCAGAGTTTGTACAATAGAAGCAAACTTCTATGCCCTGTTAAAATTACCATGTCTGAATGTGGTAAGAAATAGCTCATTTTGATCTTTGACTTCTAGAATAAAAATAAACATTCTTATAAAGCAAGTGGCCAATGGCCCACTAAATTAAGGTCCAAGAAATCAATTTCAGGGAGCAGTTCATCAAAGTTAATGTGCAAGACATGTGATTTAAGATTTAGGAAGTTACAATGACTCGGTCGATTCTATACAAATCAAGGTCAAAATCCTGAAAACAACTGCTTCTCTGAACTTGCAAAACATCTTACAAGAAATACAAAAAAAGTATTAAAAAATCTGAACCAGGTACTTCCAATTTTTTTCCTAGAATGAAGTAAGTTCATTTGATTCAGACAAGAATCTTGATATTTTGATATCTTGTCGTGAACCAGACTGGTATGATCGAAAATCTAAAACCTTTTTTATTGTTGAAGACCTCTGAACATATTCTCTCAAACAACTTAGACAGTTGGGCAAATCCAAAACACAACGTAAAGGATGTGTTCAGTCATAGAATGAATAGGTTGAGTTAATGGGCAAATAAGTAAATATCTATTAGAACTATTTTTGTTTTGAGATCATTACAGTTGTATGTGCTTTTAAGGAGGTTAAAATAAATTGTGAAAAATGGAATTTCTCAACATTAAAATGTATACCATACTCCTCATTTCCTCTGTAATAAAACCAGGTGAAATGTCTCAGTGCTCTAGGGTATCTTGCAAAGGACAAATAACCTTAACTAAATGTGGCAGCTCAAGTCCCTAGAAGGCAAGAGTATTTGCCCTGTTATGGGGCTTTTAGCGTCTCACTGGGAAAGTCGGTTAAGAATAGAATCACTCTCAAACACCAAAGATTTCTCCTCTTGTCTTCCTACTCCAAGAGACACTCATCTGTAGTTGAATGGAGTCCTTGCTGCAGAAACCTGTAAGAGAATTTCAAGTGGGTGAACTGCATCAACAAAGATGAACCCAATGAAATGAAGAGAAGTGAAAAATATACTAGAAAAGTATTGACTGGAGAAAAACAATGGGGAAACTTTAATACGATATTAAAGAATGCCGGCCTTATCCAAATGATAACAGAGAGTCATCAAAGTACTTATTGCAGAGGAATGATGTGATAATGCCTTTATTTTTTTGAGACAGAATTTTGCTCTTGTCACCCCTGCTGGAGTGCAGTGGTGCGATCTTGATTCACTGTAACCTCTGCCTCCTAGGTTCAAATGATTCTCCTGCCTCAGCCTTGCAAGTAGCTGGGATTACAGGTGCTGGCCACCATGCCCAGTTAAGTTTTGTATTTTTTACTAGAGATGCGGTTTCTTCTTGTTGCCCAGGCTGGTCTTGAACGCCTGACCTCAGGTGCTCTGCCTGCCTCAGCCTCCCAAAGTGCTGGGATTACAGGCATGAGCCATTGTGCCCAGGCAATAATGCTTTTTTTTTCTTCTCTTTTTTTTTTGAGTCAGGATTTTACTGTGTCACCCAGGATGAAATGCAGATGCAGTGGCATGAACACAGATCACTGCAGCCTTGACCTCCTGAGCTTGAGTGATCCTCCCACCTCAGCCTCCCCAGTATCTGGAACCTCAGGTCTGTGCCACCACACCTGGCTTATAATGCTCTTTTAAGGAGGGTGATATGGCTCCATGATGAAGATAGGTTAAAGGGGAGTTGACTCCCAGCTGAGTGATCTGTCTGTTCTGAGACATTCTGGTAATGGGATGAAGTGTATTGAGAAGTGACTTGACAATGTAAACACTCAATGGTGACATGATAGACTGTAGGGAGGTCTTTAGCTCTCCTTATTCCTGGCCTGGAAGATTTGGGTGGAAGATGTTTCCTTAGACCATAGTAATGTCACATTGGCATGTTCAGCAGGTTGTTTGGCTCCCAACCTTGGAACGATCAAACCCATACAAAATAGTCTTCTCCTGCTGTCGGAGCCTGTGTGGAGAATGAGACAGATCATTAAGTTCTGTTCCGCACTCTTCAATAACGAAATCTCTAAGTAATCAGATACTCACAAAGTAGACTGTGGAGGTATAACCCATGCCTCTCAACCTCAACCACCTCATCTGACTCAGTAAATCAAAGTCCAGCATTATTGTTCATGGGATAAAGTAAAATCCATTGTTGAATATAATGAGTATTATCAGCACTGAAAAAGCAGAGTCATCTTTGCCAGTATTTGATTTCCTTCACAAGAGACAATGAACATTGAGAGTTTGTTTTGAAGAAGAATATTGGGAAAATAATTACAGGGAAGGAATGAGTGAACAGATGAACCTAGAAATGGTGGTTGACATTAGAGAGTATTCTATAGAAAAAAGCCTATATAGACAAGGAACCAATTGCAGGTGCTTAACATGCCGGTTGTGGACATGGCTGGCAAATATGTGCTTTCAGAATGATGGATCACCCCCAGATTCACTTCTGGGCTGATGCGCTGTTGAGAGCTGGTTAGCATTCCAGTTCCGGACTTGGAGGGCCTCTAGTGGCTGTCAGCCTCATTAGGAAAAGAGGAACAACTGCTATATCATCCGAAGAGTTTTGTGCCTGGAATTTAAAATGTAACATCTCTAAGACTGCCCTCTTTTGTGGCAGTTAAAGAGTTTAGAATGACTAAAATATGAGTGGATTCTATAATAGAGAAACAATGACACTGGTACTTCTTGACTTTATTTGTATTTGTTATTGAGTTAGTAACACAAGAGGTTTTTTTTTTATTGAAAATAAAAGATGATTAATGTACACCGCTCCAGCAAACATATTTCTACCCTTCTTTCATTCACAACATAATATGCTGGGTAAGTGTTTAAAAATCTTTTAAGTAGATTTAGTTTAGTTAATTATATCCTCTGCCTACCTCTCATCTGTCATACCCAGAGAGCCCTAAGAACTCAGAGAGCAAATAACACAGCTTTTGGTGGGAACAGAAAAATGCATCCAACATTTCTACTATTTGACTCTTATTATCTCCTTCCATTTCAGAATAGGAGGTGGGACTGGAGGTGCATTCCGTTAAGAGCTGCTCAAGTAAGAAAAGCTGGCAAGAACTAGGTAAGCCTGGACTAAAAAGAGTCCTATAGAACAAAGCTCTACAATGAGAGGGTTCATATTTGTCCTGTTCACTGTATCTTCTATAACTGACACATAGAAAATATCCAAAACATTTTTTTCCAATAAAAGAATGAAAAACTATTAAATGAGTTTCTTAGAACTAGCTCAGTTCTAGACTATATGGACTGGTATTTCTAGAAATTTCTTTGTGATATAGGCTGTATCACTAGGGTAAGAGACTAGATAAGCCTTTCGGGAAGGGAGAGGACAAATGGCAGTTAGCAATAGACATATACACATTACCAATAGCACAAGAATTATGATTTGGGGGAGATGTTATAATAATCAAAAGGATACTGAATAAAGCCTGAAGCCAACAAGGAAGAGCTTCCTGACACTTAGGAGGCATGGACTTCAAGTTACCAAAAAAACCAAAAAGGGGCCACTGTATTCCTTAGTATTCCCAAACTCAGAGCAAATGCATTACAGTTTAATATTCCTTTTTACATATCATACTTTATTACTGGGAATGTTGTGAGACTGACTCATTAAAACCAAAATATGTCAAAATGAGGCTGAGGCAAACCAAGGGATCCTTTCAAAATCCATCTCCAACGGTGCTCATTAAAGATGGCACACCAGACTTCCCTATTTATCGCTTCTTCCTTCCAAGTCTCCATTCAATCAGTAGGACAGGAATAAAAGATGTATTTGTCCATAAAAACAGATAGAAGAAGAGAGAGACTATTAATGGAAAAGCAATTTTAATGTTTCTGGAAGGCAGAAACAGAGAGGTGACATTGACTGTGAAGACCAGATGGGAGGAAGCTGCAGCCTAGAATCCAGGCTATATGTACAGCCACCAAAGAAGCCCACAACTTTTCCAAGGGACACTGGCAAGGCTTCAGACTCAAGGCCCCATGGAAGGCGTAAAACATGTGGGACTAGTGGAAGGTCTGATAACAGAGTAGCTGGCTTCCCCTCCCTATTCATCCTGACAGCCAGAAGACAGGCATTTATTTCAGAGGGAAGACATGAGGGCTCCTCCCTAAAGGAACTGAACAAAAGCTGTCTGGGAGAACCACAGCAGCCAGTGTGAATATTTTCATATTAAAGCAAAGCACACAGTCACCTGGAATTTGGGGGTTATACAATATAACAACCAGCTTCTTGCCCATTACCCCTAAAGCAATAATAATTATTAACATAACCAGTTCACAGAATCCCAGGTCAGACATTATATGACCTGGTTATGAAATACAGAATGACCAATTAAAGCTTACCAGGACTTTCAGGAAAGATTTCTAAATGAAGGGAAAAGTAGACAATAAACACATTTTAAGAATCATTCATAAAGAAATTAAGATTATTCTGGAAATAGAATGTCTAGTTAGTAATCTTCAGAGAAATTTGAGAAGATATTTATTAACAAAGCATCGACAGTATGCTAGAAACCATAAGAAAACATGAAGAAATCATAAAAATTAAAGAAGAAATGGTAAGAGAACATGAAGACATCATAAAAATTAAAATACAATTCAAAAATTCTGAAAGACATTAGCAGCTTTTAAAGACAAGGTGAAAAACTTTTCCAAGTAGATTAAATTTTCCAAATACCCAGGAACAGTTCTAACTACTTTATTGACACAGCAAGCCTATCGTGTACACAGTATGAGGTTCTTCCTTTACAGCCGAGGTACAGAGAAATTAAGCAACTTTCCCAAGGACACTTAGCTAAGTAGCCAAGATTAAAAACCAGTTAGTCTAGCTCTAGAGCCCATGAGCTTAACTGCTTTGCAATACTATTTCCAGTAATATTATAATAGCTAACCTGCATTAAGTGATTACTCTGTGATAGGCACTTATAAATAAAGTAACTCATTTAGTCCTCTGAACAATGCAACAAGTAGACATCACCATTAGTCCATTCTATAGATGAGTAAATGTAAGAAAGAAAGGTTAGAAAACACCATGGGTCACATACATGATAAGTGGGGAGACAGGATTTAGCCCATGAAGTCTTGTTTCGGAATCTATTATGTTTTCTAAAATGCAAGGGGGCAAAAATATGAAAGGAAAGATAAGATATGGTATGTAACCAAGCCATTTATCTGTCTTAGAGTAGTTTCAGAAAGATCAGATAAAATAGTGGTGAAGAAATCATCAAATAAATTTTAAAAGAAAAGGTCCCAAGCTAAAGGAAAACAAAACTTTCATATTGAGAAAGCTTACTAGAATACCATGTAAATGGTCCATTTCCACACTGCTATAAAGAGACTATCTAAGACTGGATAATTTATAAACAAAGAAGGTTTAATTTGCCCACAGTTCTGCACATCTGGAGAGCCTCAGGAAACTCAAAATCATGACAGAAGGAAAAGCAGGCATCTTCTTCCACAGGGAAACAAGGGAGAAAAGAGAGAAGAAAGAACTTTAAAATACTTATAAAACCATCAGATCTCATGAGAACTCACTTGCTATCACAAGAAGAGCATAGGGAAAACCACCCCCATGATCCAACCACTGCCCTCTCTCAATACCTGGGAGCTTCAGGTCCCTCCCTCAACATATGGGGATTCCAATTTGATATGAGATATGGGTGCAGACACAGAGTCAAACTATATCCAAAGCTGATTTTAAAAAGACCCCTCAACCTACCATTGTGAAATTTTAGAGCAATAAAAAGAAAGATAATATATTAAAATTTCTATTGATGGTAGAGGCATGATGATGGAATAAGGTAGGAAAAAACAAATAAAATGAGACTTGACAGAATAAACATCTCATCTACTGTAGTGGATGCTAGAAGACAGTGAAGCCAGACTTCAGATTCTGAGAGGAGTGGTATTCAATCTAGAATTCTGTTCTCAGTCAAATTATTAAAGTTAAATTTGAAGGCAAAGAGGACACCATCTAAATGTGTAAGAAATGAGAAACTTTGTATATCTTCTGGTAAGTAGCTACTTGAGGCTCTGTTCCAACCTGGCTAAGCCAGACACTAAATTAAAAACAAAAAGACACAGGATCCAGGAAATAAGGCTTCAACCTAAGAAAACAGTTAGAAATACCCTACATGCAGCAGGTACCAAGATCAATTAGTCTAGCTTGAAGCAAGGGCTAGAGAGCTCCAAATGAGAAGAAAGGAAGAGAGGGAGAGAATAAAAATTAAAAATGGCAATTTGGGAGAAACAAAAAGCTATACAAAAGAAAGGATATACAGTCATAATTTGTTTTCCTATGGTGAATGATACATAGGTGTAGTAATGTAAAATGCTTTACATTAACATTTAACCTCTATACAAAACACAAATGATGATGCTTACTAAGGAGAATGTAGAAGTTAAAAAATGCAGCACAGTAGATAGAGCGTGAAGCCAAGCTAAGCCTTCACTCTGCCAGTTTGCATGGTTGCAGGCTTAATACCACATGAAAAAAAACCACCAAGGGTTACAGCTTGTATTCTCCAAAGTGGCAACTTGAGCTGCACCTGGGTCCCTCTGACCTTGATGGGAGCTGGAGCTGCTAGCTAAAATGTGGAAAGCAGTGTCCCAAGGCTGTGTAGGGCAGTGGGGTCCTTGGCCTGGCCCATAAAGCAAGTCTTTCTCCTAGGTCTCTGGGCCTGTGATGTAAGGGGCTGTTGTGAAGGTCTCTGAAATGCCCTTGAGGTCTTTTTTTCATTGTCTTGAATATTAGTCCTTGGCTCCCTTTTACTTATGCCAAAATCACAGGTAAGTGGTTGCTCCAAAGCCTACTTGAATTGCTGTCCTAAAAATGTTTTTTCTTTCTTTGCCATATGACTAGGCTGCAAATTTTCCAAACTTTTATGCTGTGCCTCATGTTTAAATATGAATTCCAAATTTAAATCATTTATTTGTTCCGCATCTAAACATATACTATTAGAAGCGGTCAGGCTACATCTTTAACACTTTGTTTGCAGCTTAGAAATTTCTTCCATCAGATATCATAAATCATCACTCTAAAGCTCAAACTTTTACAGACCTTCAGGGCATGAAAACGATGCAAGAAAGTTCTTTGCTAAGGCATAACATGCATGACCTTTGCTCCAGTTCCCAATTAAGTTCCTCATTTCCATCTGAGACTTCATCCTGGACTTCATTGTTCATATCACTATCAGCATTTTGGTTGAAACCATTTAATCAGTTTCTAAGAAGTTCCAAACTTTCCCTCATCTTCTTGTCTTCTCCTAAGCCATTCACTCTTCCAACCTCTGCCCATTAACCAATTCCAAAATCATGTCCACATTTTTAGGTATTTTTATAGCAATACCTCACTCCTTGATAGCAATTTTCTGTGTTAGGCCATTCTCTAATTTCTATAAAGAAATACCTAAGATGCAGCTCCCAGCGAATGAAACGCAGAGGGCTAGAGGACTTCATGATTCCAAATGAGGTGCCGGGTTCATTTCTGTGGGACTGATAGGGCACTGAAATTAGGCCCAGGGAAGGAGCCACAGGGCGAGAACCACCCACGGGGGCAAAGCAAGATGGGGGGAGCGCTTCCCCACCTGAAACTTGCAGTCAGCTGGGAGAGTTGGGGGACTTAACCCCCTCAGTGCTCCGATTCAGATTATGTACTTACCTCATCCCTCCTGCAACCCATGGTCCACGAGAGTCCTGCCAAACAGTGGGGTGCAGTGGGTAGTTGATGCAAATCTGAGCAGTGGCTACTGCCAGGTGGGGCTTGTTGCAGGGACCTGGGCAGGAGTTTGGACTAACATCAGTGGGACGGACGGACCATCCCACAGAGGGAGGCAGAGTTGAAAGCAGGTAAATAGACCATAAGGCCTGGCAGGCCCCACCTCCACAGAACTCAAACTGAAGCCCTTGCTACAGGGCTTGGCAGCAAATACACTAGCTTGACCAACCAGGACGATCCAGCTGGGGAAGGAGAGACTCCATTGGGAAGGCGGGGCCAATCTCACCTGGAAACAAACTCTGGGGAATGATCACCCACCCAACAACCTGAGCGAACCGAGAGAA